AACCTGGAAAAGTCAGCTTTTCATGATATGTCACCTTTAATAAATTACTACAAGTATTTCAGTTTTTGTTTTTAAAGAGAATTTTTTTCTGGTCGATTTGTTGATAATTTTGATAGTTTGTTCAATTCTTGGTATCCAAATCTGAATCCTAAAGCAAAACTAATTGAGAACCACTGTTATACTAAATAATTTTTATTAAGAAATTTGGAACCGATTTTAAATCCCACTTAGTACAACGGCAACACAGAGTGTGTCTATTGCAGTGAACCGCAGAGACCTTGCGTTTTTGGCAGCTATACTAAAGATGGCATCCAAAGCACAGGCAGTAACGCAGCTGTGCTTTTGCTGGTTGAATAATGCCATTTTAATGCAAGCCCATTGACTCCTGTCTTTCTGCACAGGGCAGTAACTGCGACACGTTCTTTCTCATTTTTCCCATTGCTATAGAAGAGGATGTTTTGCCATCCAAATGAGCAAAAATCTGCCAACGCGTTTCAGTTTGTGATGAGGTTCAATAAAAGTAGCCAGACAGTACAGTCTGGCATTCCAGACTGACTGCAGGCTGCAGTCTAGGAGAAGTGCCAGTAGCTTTTCACCGTTTTATTGGAGCTGTTTTATTGGAGTGCAAGCCTGGGAGTGTGAAATCCTTAACTGTTCTTTCCTCCTGTGGCAGAACTCTCTGACACGCAGGGCACCGATTCCCAGTGACGCTCAGGGCCGTAGTGGAGCTCGTTTCCACACTTCATACAACAAGAGGTACGTCATCAAGATCATCACCAGCGAGGATGTGGCCGAGATGCACAACATTCTGAAGAAGTACCACCAGGTAGAGGGAATATCTGTTTCTTTGTTTAAAAATTATCTTACGATGAGTCTCGCAAGCTGTGAAATCCATCGTTTTTTTGTATTTGTCCACTGTAGTATATAGTTGAGTGCCATGGAAACACGCTGCTCCCTCAGTTTCTGGGCATGTATCGCCTCACAGTGGATGGAGATGAGACCTACATGATCGTTACTCGTAATGTCTTCAGTCAGCGGCTGCCTGTTTACAAAAAATATGACCTGAAGGTGAGTGATTCTAGTTTGAAGACCTTGTCTTGTCTTTAGTACAATGAAAATGAATGGATTGGGGCATCAAGTGGTCCATAAAACTTATGCTATTTCAAGACTTTGGAGGCATATAGTAGCTTTGCCTAAGTCATTATTCACAGAAAATCATGACATCCACCCTAGTTTTCCCTTTTGCATTCATTATAGTTCATGAGGAAAGTTGTGATGTCTGATTCATGAACAAATGATTCTTTTGAATCAGATCTTTTTATTGAATCGTTTTAAATGTGTCATTGAAGCAAGTACAACAGAAAAATAATTTCAGAAAAAAATAGTTCCATATAGAAAAAAGTCATGTTTTTTGAGCTAATGAGAATGAGGAAATGGCACAATTAAAATTTTTGGGTAAACTTTTTTTAATAATGACTTCATGTACTTTTTTAGGGATCAACAGTGGCAAGAGAGGCTACCGACAAAGAAAAGGTAAACTCTCCCTCATATTTTTTTAATTATGTGTAGAAGAAGTAGAACTTTTGAAAAGGTGGTGCTAAAAATGTTTTTTTAAAATGCTAAAAACTTCTGTGTTAAAAAGGTTTTCATAATTTCCAGTGTATTTCCAATTACATAAGTGTTCAGAAAATGAACTCACATTTGCATGTTGGATGTATTGCATGTCTGAGTTTGGAAATTATGTGTAAAAAAAAAAAACGCATTATAATCACAATTATAACATCATCTTCCTTTCCATGTGTGTTGTGTATTAATAAACTCCCCCAAAAAATTCTCCTATGTGAAAGATCCCATTTTCTGCTCCATTCCTTGGAAAAAAATACTCTGTGCTTCTTTTCTGTTCAGTGTTTGCTTGATTTAGTTTGCTTCAGAGTGTGGGAAACTGCACTTTGTAGTCCAGAGGTATTATTTAATTTAAGTAATGGTCCTGAGAAGAGTGAAAATAATTATAATATTGGATTAATTCAAACCTAAGAACTGTAGTGTCTCTGTATATTGTGAAACCCTATTGTTTTACACTGTAATTTAAGTGCACTGATCTCTGAAGGTGAAGAGATGGTAACAGAAAGCATTGTAAATAATAGATCAGAGATTGAGTACTTGTCTTCAGGAAACATTTGACTGTTGGATTACATTGATTTACTGTGGAAACTATATAGAAAACATTCTGTACATTAATAAAAGACTAATGAGTTGCAGTTTATACTTGTGTACGGTATTCTCTCACATAAGGCAAACCTGATCTTGTGTGATTTCACATATGTGTACATATGGAGGGCATGTGAATGATTTGCATGTGTATATATATATATATATGTTTTCGATATGAATATTAGTCTTTCTAGCATGTAAAATTGTTTCATTGATTACGTTCTCCTCCATTTAGATGGTGTATCTACATTCTAATGCTGTATATGATACTCTCAAATATGGCAAATATGAACTGATGTATATTTGTAATTATGTGTCATATACAGACTAGATTTATTGTCATTCACTGTATTTGATGAAATGTTTCCTCTGCATCTTAACTTTGATTTACTTAAAGGGATAGTTCTCCCAAAATGAAAAGGCTGTCAAGTTCAAGTTGTTCCAAACCTGTATGAATTCCTTTCTTCTGCTGAACACAAAAAAATATATTTTGAAGATTGTGGGTAACCAAACAGTTTCTGGTCCATATTGACTTACATAGTATATATATTTTTTTTTCCATACAACAGAAGTCAGTGGGGACCGACAACTGTTTGGTTACCAACATACTTCAAAATATCTTCTTTTGTGTTCAACAGAAGAAAGGAATTCATACAGGTTTGGAACAACTTGAGGGTGAGTAAATGATGGCAGAATTTTCATTTTTGGGTGAACTATCTCTTTTAACATTCTCCCATGATATTTTGTCTCTTCACTTGTTTACTGTACAATAGTCATGTTATCAATCAAGTTTTATTTTTTTCACTCTGTAATTTTGATGTTTCGTTTGATGCATGTTATGTGGGATATTTCCATCTTTTTAATTCTTCCATTTTCTCCTGAAGGCTTTACACCTTTGCTTTATGAAATGATGTTAAAATGACTAAAACGATTCAAATGACCAAAAACACAAAGCTGTCGTCTCTCACCACACACTGATTTGTGGGTGCTTGCGTTAGTGAAGCTGCTTGCATCTGACCCTCCTTCTCCCTGCAGCCACGTCCACCTGAGGAGGCTCCGTCCAAATCACGCATGAGCCAAAAGCTACAAACCATCCGGATTGCCACACGCTTTTATTGTGCCATAAGACACGTAAGGACACAACAGCAAAGAACTGTCCCATATTGCTCTGTGTTCTTCTTCAACATGCTTTACCCGCATTTTGCCTCAGGAAATCACCATTCCCTCTGGATCCCACAAGGGACTGTAAACCCAAGCCCAGGGCTGGTGCTTTAAGTTGCCTTCCTGTTCCAGAAATAAAGTGGTGACTCCTTCTTCGACAATCTCTGCTGGAATTGTGAAAAGAGCTGGAATACTAGTGCGTCAGCATTTAAGTGTTCTGCTGAGTCATAGGGGGTTTTATATATACCTTCATATGTCCATCTGCGTATTCTGTTAGTTTGGATTGAAGTCTCATTTTGTGGTTCAAGGAGCAATTCAAATTTTCATCAAATGTTAAATAGATCATAAAAGGTCAAAAAATGTTTCTTGGAGGGAGCCATTTAGATTTTTGTTCAGTTCTTCTGGAGGATGTCACAAAGATAAATTAACCCATCTTGGCTAAATATTAGTGTTTTTGATTTGATGTTTGATAAATATCTCAAACATTTAATGCACTGCAAATCTAACATGAAAATCAGATCAATAAATTAAAGGGATAGTTCAGCCAAAAATTAAATAAAGATATCTTGAAAAATGACTCGATGTTTACATATACATACATAAACATGCACATATATGTGACCTTGGACCACAAAACCAGTCATAAGGCTACATTTTTTGGAAATTGAGATTTGTACATCATCTGAAAACTGAATAAATAAGCGTTCCATTGATGTATGGTTTGTTAGGATAGGACAATATTTTTTTTTTTTTTATGGTATATCAAAAAGTGTATATTTTTTAAATGTGATTGTTGGTACATTTTACCAGTTTTTACCATACTTTCAAAACAAAAATTAAAATAGGAAAAATATGCAATATGAAAATAATTGAAGACAAAATGTGTTTTGCTGAGAAAAAACAAGATTTGGTTTTTAAAAAGCCTTTTTCCAAAAGGTACATCTGGAAAAAGGGGGGTCGTCTTATAATCAGGGTCATCTTATATTCGGGCCAATACGGTAGTTACTGCATCAGTAGTAATGACGGCTGGTGTAGTGTTTGAGATTGAGCCGGTATTGCTAAAGGTTGTAGGTTTGAACCCCAGTTGCATGATGCTTTTCTTTACAGTCTCTCCTCATTTTTAGGATAAGAACGCAATTTTTAACTGTTTATTTATTGGTCAGGTGATATTTGGTTTGATTTTAGCTTGACAGATCTGGTGTTTTATTCGTTTTATGTCAGTACAAAATGTAGTTGCAGCCCTGTTATTAAATGTTTTCAGTTTTTGGTATGTATTGTATTGTAAAATTCATGTTGGTTTAATATTAGCAGTTTTGTGTAGATTGCTGCACGCACAAAAACAACTTTAGTGTGGCAATTTTCAGAAAGTAACATGAGACTCTTAAATATTCCACTTGAAACAAGTAGTTTAAATGTAAAGATTTTTAAAATAGCAATTTAAAAAATAAAAAGTACACTGAAAAACCTGTACAAACATTGCACTTGAAATGCGTGCATATTGCACATTAATGAGAGTTATTTATATTTAAACTGAACATTAGTTGGAATGAATAAACAAAAATTCATAACCGTATCTGTTCGCATTTGGGACTATAAATGAGTTAATTTTGTTTGCTCCTAAAGGTGAGGAAGGTTCCTCGGGGTCTCACTCCAGCTCTGGACCCCAGCGACCCGTTTGCAGATGAAGCAAGAAGAGCGGCAAGAAGTCGAGGCTCTGGCCAGGAAATTTGAGAGCAAATATGTATGTAATCTTTCACATGACGTCTTTCGTACGAGCATCCGTCCACTTGCGTTTTTATTTACGCAGAAAGCTCTTAAGTCATGATATGTTAAAGAAATATTATAATGTGTTATTGACTTTACATTGAGGTTAGTGCGTTATCGTCTCAGGGAAGCACAGTTAAGAAGAAGAGACGAGACCGGATGCAGGATCTCGATGAAACGGCTATGATGAAACGGATCCGTTTATCGACAACTCTGAGGCCGTGAGTATGAGAGGGAGCTTCATTGATCCTCACGGACAAAATCACTGCTGACTGCCTCCCGAAATGCTCTCAATCACCGGGTTGTGCCGATAGACGATAGTATCATGTATCGACGATAGCAGATGTTTAAAACCCCAAATAGTTATGAATTAGCCTATGACAAGTACAGAGAGTCTCTCTCTTGCCCCCACACACCCATGCACGATAATATCATGCATTGGCGATCTCACAGGCTGGCGATATGGAAAATTACCATATCACCCAACACTAATTAACACTAACACGTCATCTCCCAAATGACAAAAAACTACTTTGAAATCCAGTCTGACCCATCATTCTTATGCATATGTGAAAATGTGTATTAAAGTGTTTTTCTGATAAATGTATGACTGTATGGATTATATATTTCACTCTGCACATTGATGCAGGTTCACTTTAATGTGCAATTGTGCTCCGTGTTTTTTTTTTTCCCATAGAAACAATAATTTGGACTACGAATAATTTAGCATTCAAAATGTTTCGAAACACTGCATGTTTGCATAATTTGCATACAGCATGATGTATATTCAGAAATGTTTTTCTGATTAGTATATGAATGTATAGACAGCATATTTCACTCTTCAGATTGTCCTCATGTCTGTTGTGTCTCTACAGTATGACGAGCTCGTTCCCGCGTCTCTGACCACTAAACTGGGCGGTTTCTACATCAACACCGGCACGCTGCAGTTCAGGGCCGCGTCTGAATCCGAGGGAGAAGACGGCAGAAAAGACGCCAACCGCTTCAAGGTGATCATCTTCATCACGTGCAGCCTCATCCTCGCTGTTATAGCAGACAGGACACATTATATAGAGAGCCACAATTATGGTTTATCAGTGCTAATTTATGATAGGGTTGAACATTTACTCAAAACATCTAATTGCAGCATGACCTAGTATGACTATTAAACCATCGAATAATGAAATACACATATGTGACCCTGGACTACAAAACCAGTCTTAAGGGTCAATTTTCTTTGAATCTTCATCATCTGAAAGCTGAATAAATAAGCTTTCCATTGATGTATGGTTTGTTATGATAGGACAATATTTGGCCGAGATACAACTTATTTGAAAGTCTGGAATCTGAGGGTGCAAAAAAATCTAAATATTGAGAAAATCGCCTTTAAAGTTCTTAGCAATGCATATTACTAATCAAAAATGAAGTTTTTATTTATTTACGGTAGGAAATTTACAAAATATCTTCATGGAACATGATCTTTACTTAATATCCTAATGATTTTTGGCATAAAAAAAATCGATAATTTTGACTTATACAGTGTTTTTTTGGCTATTGCTACAAATATACCCCAGCGACTTAAGACTGGTTTTGTGGTCCAGGGTCACACACACACACACATATATATATATATATATATATTACCTTCATAATATGAACATTAACTATTACATCTTTCTTTAAAATATCATCTTTGTGTTCCACTGAAAAAGAAAATCACACAGATTTGGAACGACAAGAAAGTAAATGACAGAATTTTTTTCATTTTTGGGTGGACTATCACATTAATCTTGATATTAGCTGTAGATTTTGGGTTGGAGTCGCTGATGTTTGTGGAAGTAGGCATTTAGGAAATAACCCTTGGTTTAATCATTGTAATTATTTGAATGCTGTAATTGTCTGTTGGCTCTAATAGTGAAATCTAAATCACACCCTGTTGCGCTGAGTGTCCACAGGAGGCAGTCTGCTTTATATTACACTCCACTGCTTCTGTGATGTGCTATTTTTAAGCTCATTTGGTGAATTCTCAGATGTTCATCTGTTGTGTGGACGGCTCATAATTGCACCAGATCAAAACTTTTGTCACCCCCAAAGACTATTTCATTTTTAGATGCTGAATTTTAGTGTGATATATAACAGAAAGTTGACAAAGACAAGAAATACGTGAAGAAGTAAACGTGAAGTGTGTTAATTCTGTGATACTAGCAGCACCAAAAAGAACTCCTCCTATAATGCCTTTTTTTTTTTTTGGCTGCTGCTGATACAAACTTTTGCCATTTTATTTGGTGCTGCTAATGGCACAGAAATTACACACATCACCTTTCATTTTCTTCCATATATACAAATATTTTTATATTGATTAAATTATTCTTTTTGTCAAGGTTTTAATTTTTGAGTCTATTAACAAATCCAAAAAAATCTGCATTTATGATACTGTATGTCACTGACATTTTTTGCTTCATGGCTGAGTAATCTGAAAGTTTCAATTTACACATGTTGCTCCTGATGAACTTTAACACTTTGTCCCAATGTGAATAACAGACCAAGGAGCTTCCAACTTACAAAGACAATGACTTCATCAGTGACGGCCAGAAAATCTACATAGATGAGGAGAACAAGAAAATGTTCCTGGAAAAACTGAAGAATGACGTAGAGGTCTGTGTACATTACGTCTGTGTGCTTTATCTATCATGTGCTTTACTACTGTTGTGCTTTATCTGTCATGTGCTTTACTACTGTTGTGCTATCCATTTGCTCTGTTTAATGTAATTGGCTCATTAAACTCTTATCTAAACACTCATTCGTCCTAATCACCACTCTGTGTCATTAAACTGTCTAATTAAAAAGACCCTTGAAAAATGTGTTTCCAGTTCCTGGCCCAGCTGAAGCTGATGGACTACAGTCTGCTGGTGGGGATCCATGATGTGGAGCGAGGGGAGCAGGAACAGCCTGAGGAGGAGAGTGAAGACAATGACGCTGGGGAGGAGGAGGGGACGGAGAGCGATGGAGGGGCCACTGGCTCCCCACCAGACAGCCCCAGTAACACACTAGACAGCAATAGACCTCTGGGCCCGGGAGAGTTTGACCCCGTCATTGATGTATATGCCATCAAGAGCCATGAAAGTGAGTCGTTTTACAGCTAGAACTAAATTAACTGGTGTTGCTTGATGGTTGTAGGGTGTTAGGTGGTTAATTACTGGCCCACTAAATCTCTTAGGATTTTCTTGTCCCTAGATATAGTTTGAGAGCCATTTTCAATGTATTTTTTGCCTGTTTTATCATCCACCAGACAAAAAATGTTAGATCACTTAGAAAAGTAATAGGACACCTTTCTTCAATGAGCCAAGTGATTTGAGATGTCATTTCTGTAGCACAAATAATATAGAAGGACACCATTCCTCCGTAAATGTTGTACATTCAGCCACATTCAAATTATAATGTGTAATATTGCACATCCAGTGCTCAAAAATGTATTGTTTTTATTTATTAGTTCAGATCAATAGTTAATAGTTTTTACTTGCCCTGACACACACAAATCATTTTTATTTTTAGCAATACATTTTTATATTTACTAGAAATATTTATTCATTAAATGTTACTTTTTTCTTCTTCTTTTTTGTCTTTACAAATATAAAAATGCAACAAGCTGGAAATTATACAGCTGTAATGCAGCTCCATAAATTCATAAATGCTTTTTTATATTTACTAGAAATATTTATTCATTAAATGTTTCATTTTCATTTTTTTTCTTTACAAAAACCAAAAATATAATGCAATCTTGAAATTAAACTGCTGTAATGCAACTCCAAAATTTTACAAATGCTTTTTTTATATTTACTAGAAATATTTATTCATTAAATGTTACATTCTTTACAAAAATAAAATATGCAACAAGCTAAAATATTACACAGCTGTAAAGCAATTAATTCATAAACACACTTCTGCTGGAATATGATGCATAACATTACTGACTGATTTTTCGTTTTTAAAGGGGTCATATGATGCTGCTAAAAAGAACATTATTTTGTGTAATTGGTGTATACTAATGCTTTCAAGACTGTCACAAGTAATTTTTGCACATTTTTAAAGCTTTATCCATGTTATCCAGCTAGATTGGATAACATGTCAACAGTATTTGCAACAATGTTGAATGTATTACAGAAAACCATGCATTTCAGTTTGCAAGGCATATACTGTAAATGGCCCAGCGCAGCACTGGGCCAAAAGGCAAGTTAAAGTTCTGTCTCACTTGATTCCAGTTGTATCTTGCTTAAAAACAGTAGCGCATTCTACCTTTCAGATGCTCCTAAAAAAGAAATCTACTTCATGGCGGTGATTGACATTCTTACTCCATATGATGCCAAGAAGAAAGCAGCCCACGCAGCTAAGACAGTCAAACATGGGGTGAGAGTCCAATATATCATAAACACAGTGCTAGTCCTAAAATAGTCCTCCATTTACTCAAAATCTACACATTTTTGCTCTCTTTCTCTCCAGGCAGGGGCAGAGATCTCAACGGTCAACCCCGAGCAATATTCAAAGCGGTTTTATGATTTCATCACCACTATTCTGTCCTAACTGCTGCCTGAGGCTGGAATGAGGCGGAGTAACAGATATGATCTCATATCCTGGGAGAGGTTTTGCTGTGTGTAACGGATCCAGTGTCTCTCTCCCACTTGTCACAGGATCACGTCTGAGATCTGTCAAGATCTTTTTTTGTTTACAATTTCTTTTTCTTCTCTGTTGGATTTTTCGGTAGGTTTATGGCTCCATGTGGTTGATAAGGCATACATGTGATATAGTCATGCATATATAGCGTTCTGTACCTTTGTGTTAGATATTGTTGACTGAGAAACCGCGTGTTATTGTTTGTGCCCAGCTACGTGGTATGAATATCATACTGGAATTCTCAAAGCTGCTTATATATTTATTGTCTTTATGTTCTTTGCGGAGAAAAATTCATTGTTCTCAAAGGAATAGTTCACCCAAAAATTTCAATTAGCTGAAAATGTACTCACCCTCAGACCATCCAAGATGTAACTGAGTTAGTTTCTTCATATGAACTGATTTGGAGAAATGTAGCATTACATCACTTGCTCACCAGTGGATCCAGTGAATGGGGGCCGTCAGAATGAGAGTCCAAACAGCTGATAAAAAACATCACAATAATCCACACGACTCACGGGTCCATTAATTAATGTCTTGTATAGCAAAAAGATGCTTGTTTGTAATAAACAAATTCATCAAGGCATTTTCAACTTCAGTTAACTGGAGTCTTGTGGATTGTTGTGATGTTTTTATCAGCTGTTTGGATTCTCATTCTGACGGCACCCATTCACTGCAGAGGATCCATTGGTGAGCAATTTCTCCAAATCTGTACTTGATAAAGAAACAAACTCATCTACATCTTGGATGGTCTGAGACACAGTACATTTTCATCAAGTTTACATTTTTCATTTTTAAGTGAACTATTCCTTTAATAAAAAAAAGTCCAGTTTTAAATAATTAAAATATATTTCAATTTATAAAATAAATTTAGCCCTGAACAAATATGACCAGAGTCAGAATAAAAATAAATTGTAACATAATTGCTTGAAAGTGTTTATTGCACTATCGCTCTTTAGCTGCAGGCAGTACCTTTAAATCAAATCTGTTTTTTCTATCTGTTTACAAAGTGTATGTAACAGTGGAAAAGAATGCAGCTTCAGGATCAATTACTGCATTTATAGTTCAAATCCAATCAGCAAATTGGATTTAGATGTTCTGCCTGTTGTGCATTGTAAAGTCTTGCACAGGAGCTCAATATTTGCAATTGGCTCCGATAATAATGTTAAGTATAACTCAACTGTTTTTGGACATGATTTAATGCACCAAAACATTTATGCAAATGATTCCAGTTTTACCACTGACTCGCGGAGGGTCATGCAATAGTAGTGATTCGTAGAATGTGTTAAAGCACCTAATGGGTTACATGTGCGTTGCCACTTTTGTATCCCTAGTGAAAGAACAAAACATTGCCTGTTT